CCCGTAGTAAAAAAGTGTATATTTGGAGAAGAATTTTAATTTAACTGTCTATTACGTCAATTAACTCACCAAGTCAGGGCATATCCTTCTAAATAGTTTATTGATGTAATAATGTGTCCACATTTAAAACTACATAATCCACATAACCACATCTTTATTGTAGATGCTCTAAATGTGAGTAGAGGTGAATTTATGTTTTCCATTGCTTGCCTTTAAGTATATTTTTAGAGAGAATTCCCTAAGTATGAGTAAAAAAAAAGTTTTGTAATTCAAAATAGGACTAAAATGTTTTTTACTCGCTAAATAAGAGTAAATTTCTGCCAAATTTGTCATTACTAAGCTTTAAACATGGCTTTTTTTCAAACTTGGCAGAAATTTTCTTATATAGGAATAAAAACATGAAAGACCTATTTTGGAATTTCATAATATTTTTACTGGACAATTTTTTCGGGTTCTTTGTTGTTTTTATTCTCACGGAATATGTATGCTATATTGCTATAGGAAGAGTTTTGCCTACTTGCCTGCCGCAACCAAGGTGTCAAGGACTAGAGAATAAAAGCAGGTTACTACACGCCAATAATATATTGGAACATATATACATTCATTTTAAACACACAGTAAAAAATTATAATCACCACAAAACTCCAAATAGTCTCGATCCAGCAAATATAAAATAATGCCATGAATAAAACAAAAAAAATTCACTGCAAATAATTTTAAAGAATCAATTTTACTAGGTTAGTGAAGTTTCTCTTGCTTTTATAGTACTGTATTTATTTACAGTATTCCAAATCGTGCAATTCATCTTTTGTACACGCCCTCACGAACACTTCTTGTTTTTTACTCCCTCCGTATCTTTAAAATCTTCCCATTTCAAAAGTAGGTAGATTAAGAATAGTGAAAGATGATATGAATTATTGAGGGTATGATGGGAAAATAGTGGAATAATGTGGTGGAATGTAGGATAAATCCAAAAAAGGTAGTTGTAATAGTGTATTATTTTAAGAATTATTGAGGGTATGATGGGAAGATTTAGAAATGGGAAGATTTTTGTGTTACGGACGAAAAAGGAAAGTGAGAAGATTTTTAAGTTACGGAGGGAGTACTTCTTTTGTTCTTTTACTTCTTTTGTATTTTTTACTTCTTTGGCCTTTACTATTTCACGTGATGTTTTGTTTTATGTGATTCAAACTCTCGACCCATCAATTGCTAATACGTGTTAATTAGTTAAAAATAAATCAGTCACGAAATTAATAATAAGACAAAAGTGATACTTGCGGGTGTATTGAAAATGAATTGTGGTGGGCTTTAAAAAAAAAGATGACACCCCATCCCTGAGGGCCCCCCAACACCGACCGGACGGCACGATAGGAAGATGTAAATTGGACTATAATCACAATCTGACAGATAGAGAGTGGAGCTCTGTCCCCGATACTTGCAGAAGCCCTATGCATTTTTCAGTATAGTAACCCATCATCGCAGTTCACGGGATTCGAACCCGAGACCTAACCCTTGTGCCACTCCCTCCCTACCAGTTGAGCTACGCCCACCGGTGTGGTGGTTTTTTTTAAATCATGGATTTTTAAAAAAAGTCAATGGACTTTTAAATTTATAGATTTTTTACGAATGAATTCTATGGACTTCTAAATCCATAGATAAGTTTATAGACTTTCAAAAGGTTCATAAACTTCTAAATCTGGACAACCATTACCGGTCGTCAAAATATTCACCTTGATCGCTGCTACCGATCTACCTGTCCGCCTCCATCACCAGAGCTCGCCACCATCGTCATCGCACTGATCCGCCACCAACAAAATGACTTTGGTTGTGCAAAGAAACTATGACCAATTAATTATATTAATTAATTAAATTAGAGGTAGAAATGTAACATTCAACCCTATTTAAGGGAAATCAAACATATGATCATACTTTGGGGAAAATGTTGTGTTTTAGTCCTATTGTGAGTAATTTTCTTTGTATAATATGATAAGAAACAATTGAATAAATAAATGAAACTAATGTAATTCATCTAGCAAAGCAGAGTTCTATAACAATAAATGAAGTATAAGAATTCAAATTTATTTTTATTAAAAAGAAAATTCAAAGTTTCGAGAATGCTCAACAATCTCGGTTTATTTATGGTCAATTGTTATATTACACAATTCAATGAGTAAGAACTTTGATCATTACACAAGTGTTACACTCATTGCTATATCTGGTACAAGCATAGATGCAATTGAGTCTTTCTTCTCAATAATTGTTTTCTTTTCATTTTTAGCTTGTTATGTTTTGTATACTTATTTACGGTTATGATGGAATATATGGACTCCGACCCCCCGGTATGCCGACTACTGGGCCTGGACAGCGGCCCACACACGTTTAGCGGATTCATATTATTGTACATTATTATTCAAATGTTCTAGATTAGTTTTTTATACTATCAGTCCATTTATGTAACTGGGTCTGTCAGGCCCGTATTAGAGGCCCAGACACGGATTTTCCCTATATATACTCCTTATAGGAGGCTTGTAAACACACAACTCAATAACCAATACTCATCCTACACATTTTCTTCTTCTTCTTCTCCATTACTCTCTTTGATTCTTGTTCAATTTCTCCTGTTTATACAATATGGGTATCGATTATCCAACAGGTTATATATTTATTATTTTAAAATAATATTTTTATGAGTTAGTGATTTAATGATGTTAATGAGTAATGGTTAAAATATTTTTTCTTAATGGTTAACTGACGATATACCAGAATTGCACCGATGTAAGTATGAGGATTTAACTGTTTTCTCTTTATTATACCAGAATTCCCTTTTATGTCAACTCTGGCTAGTCTTGGAGGAAGAATCGGATGAAGAAGAGGGCAGTTTGGGGGTAGTACGAGGACTAAACTGTTTTTCTTTATTATTAAATAAATTGTCCTAAATGGGAGTAATAACGTTTGTAAATTTCAAAATAAAAATGACATGTTTTTATTCACTCAATACGAGTAATTACTGCCTTATTTTGGCATTAGCAGATTTTAAGCATGCCCATATTTTCTAAGATTCAGAGCAATTGCTCATATTTATTGCATAAGAACATGAGAGCCATATTTTGGAATTCTAAAATGTGTGTACTTCTATTTCAGGAATTTTCTCATCTTTTCGCTACGATTTTTTTTTTGAGAACCAAATAACTTCATTACTCGTCAAAAGTTAAAGCACGAATAATACAATTGGGCGAACAACCCCACTAGATACCGTCAGACCCAGAACAGGCTTCTCTAGCTAGAGTGTGGGCAACCTAATTCGCTGATCGATGCACATACCGGACACGTATATTAGCAAACTTTGCCATCATATGTCTAATCTCTCTAAAAATAATATCATTATATTGTAGGTCATCTTCCCGAGTAATGCCCTGCACAATCTGCTTGGCATCAGACTCCACTATGACATGTCTCCAGCCTGACTCGAATGCCCATCTCATTGCCTCTTCAATGGCCATAGTTTCCATCAATCCCGGAGAAAAACGCCTCTCTCTCTTCATGTCTCGACCTGCTATAAAGAGTACTCCTCCTTTGTCACGAGCTACTATACCCAAGCCTCGGCCATCACCTGCGTTTTGAACTGCAATATCTACATTTATTTTGATGTACCCCGGCTCTGGTCGCTTCCATTACATTTGTTGCTTTGCTTCCCTCCATCCCGATAGCGTGACATCTCCACAAGCAATGACTCCCTTCCAATTGGAACTTATATTTTTCCAAGTCTCATCATTCCTAGCCTTCCACAAGCTCCAACATATCATGGCAAACCTGCAAAAATCATCATTAGAACAGTTAATAGCCACCGTTGCAGCCCATTCTCCAAAGTTGCCCTCCATCCATCGCAAGAAGTTGCAGCCCCTGCTGCACCAGACTTCCTTCGCTAAGCCACAATCCCGGAGGATATGCAACGAGCTCTCCTCCTGCTGCCCTCAAGCCGCACAAATCGGCCAAACCGGGACCCTCCGTTGCACAAGACGTTGCATGAGAGCCAAACCGTCCACACAAGCCTGCCAAAGAAAAGATTTAACCTTGGGAGGTATTTTCAGTTTCCACACCTTAGCACATGCCACGTCTGGTTGAGTATTTCCGGTCAACATCCTATAACAGCTCCGAACCGAATAAATACCCCTAGTTTCCAACGCCTACATTTGTGCATCATCTCTATGCTCAGGCCGTATAGGTATGCTAGCGATTAAGTCTATGTCCTCCTGATTAAATAAATCTCCCAAAATATCAAAATATCAATCGGTCCCTTCCGCTGTCATTAGTGACCGAACATAAATGTCTTCAAGCCCTGGTACAACATGTCGAGCTGGGCGGCCTCCTTCAGGGGGAATAAGCCACTTATATTTCCAAACCCGCACTTATCTACCGCTTTCGATACGGAGACACAACCCTCCTTGACAGCTTGTATAAGAGAAGGATTACTTCCACACTTTGCTTCAAGAATATTAGCATGATTAAAATATTTGGCCTTTAGTATTTTAGCAACCAAAGATCGAGTAAGGATTTTTCAATAGGCGCCACACCTTTTCGCTAAGATTGTTATTATTACTTCATTCATTTCACTAAGATTGTCTTATCTCTATTTTTTGTCTTCTTACTTTAATTTAAAATCAACAATATAAATTCAGTTTTTTATAATCCACCACTGCTTAAAGAATTATTTAAACTAAATATTTTGCAAGAATAAACGTTAAATGTTACAACAATGGGTTGGCTGGTGCCAAGTACGTTGTGGTCTGATGGCATCATTGTGGCACTCCCAAGAAGGAGGTCATATGTTCGAATCGCATCGCAGTTCAAGAATGTTGTCATTAACAATGAGCAGATACTATATAGGTTTAGAAAGAATTGTACAAAAAAGCAATGGGTTGCTGTCATTTCATTTTGAGGTTAGGAGCTCTACATCATTTTGTTCTGAATCGACAAGAAAATTGATGAAGCAGAGTATTTGGCTTATCCTCAATCGATCACGTCACATTGCTCCAATCATAATGATTAATTAACCAATCACATATGCATTATTATTCTTCATTTAATTTAAAATTACATACATATTTCATTCCTCCATTTCATACATTCACCATCCTAACAAACCAATTCGATCAATCGGTAAGGTCCAGGATGGCAAGAAAAATAACTCCATAATAAATAAAAGAAGAAAAAAAGAGGAACAAATATAATATAAATATATATAAATATATATATTGTAGGTGGCTATTACCATTCATGAATCATGACCATTATGACCATATACATATAGTTAAGTTGGTTTCAAGCAATCATGAATGGGATGAACAAACAGTACTATGACTGATTGTTATTTTGGATCCAAGCGGAGAAGGCTTGAAGTGTGTTCATATCGGCTCTATAATGCTTTTGAGTAAACTCGAGAAAGGTAGGCCATGTGAAATCCGGGTATAGTCTCGGGTTATTTGAGTCCACCAGTTCCGTGGGAGGCCTCACAACTTTGTCCTTCTTTGGGCACAAAAAAAATGCAAGTGATTTCCTTGCACTTATGTTGTTCACCACTGCCCTGTGCAAGCAACTTTTGTACCTTCCATTTGATAGCGCCTACACATAAACAACAATAAGAAAAAGTTAGCATAAACCGTCTCACTCGCGTGACCTCGACCTGATAAATTGGTGGAGTAATAAATTACGGTATCTAAAAAGTTTTTGAATAAGGTGGTTCAGGGCACGATGTGCACAAGGGGCCACCACATTGGATAAAATTCTCACAGTGCGGTTGTCGGGAATTGAGCTGAGACATCAGCTCAACTCTCGGGAATGACGGGAATTAGAGGCGAGACAATGGTTTGTTACTTAGAATAAAAAGGTAACGCGTACCATGAAAGTGTCGCCGATGTTAACTACGAAGGAGTTGGGAGTGGGCGGGACGGAGCGCCACTGGTTGTCGACAAACACTTGCAGGCCACTGACGTTGTCTTGGTGGAGGATGGTGAGCGATGTCGGGTCGCAATGTGGGCCGGTCCCCAAGGTCAACTCCGGTTTCTCGCACCGCGGGTAGTAGTTTAGTCTCATTATCGATTCGTTGTCTTCGTAGAATTCTCTCAGGAACTTCTTGTTCACTCCTAGGCTCATTGCCAACAGTTCTAGTATCCCTTCTGAAAGCTTGTTCATTGCATTGCAATATTCTTGATAAACTTTCCTGTGGGTCAACCCAAGTTCAATCAGTAATTAATCATTATGTTTATATTTTATGTTACGGTGATCATGAAGTTGTGCACATGGTGAGAAATAGAATGCAATTATATATAATGTGTACCCTGTTTGTGAGAAATTTTCACCCAATGCTGATTGGAAATATTCTTGGACAGTGTTTTGAGAGTTTTTCTCCGCGGAGAAGCTGAAAGAGAATGTTTCCTTCCACGGCAGCTTCGACGAGAACCGACCCGTGAAGCTGCTCGCATAGCCACAATGCTCTCCGAGTTGCCTCTTAGCTTTTAGCTTCTCGCCGAGAGGCAACTCGAAGAAGTGGTCCATGCAGCGGTGGGCATCGGAGATGAGGTCCCCGTCGACGCCGTGGTTGGAAACGAGGAAGAACCCGTGTTTCATGCACGATTCGCCAACGAGTCTAGAAGCTTCTTCGGCAGCGACAGGGTCCCCGGAGAGAAAACCCGAAAGGTCAATAAGCGGAATGTCGAAGGGTGGGGCGTCAGCGGTGGGCTTCTCCTCGTCCGGCCATATGAACTGCGCGGAGATGTTTGGTTGGTGGTGGAAGACGGGGGCGTTCAAATCCAACGGCTTAGGAAGGACGTGGCATTCTTGATTGACCATTTGGGAAGTGTTTGGTCAATCTTTTTGCCCTTTGGGTCAAAAAAGGGGGAGGCTTAAAATAACGTGCTTGATAAGAGCTTGCAAAGAGGTAATGGGTGAATGAGTGACCAAGATTGGATGGAGACTTTATATATATAAGCAAGCTGAGCTAACCCGACAGTGGGGTCAGTTGCCCACTAGAAACCAAACTAGTCCGCATATATTACATCGGGTGAGTTGTCACTAGCATCCAAACAAACCCAAACGAAGCCAGGAACATGATATAGAATAAGCAGCTAGCTCTTCACAAAGCTTGGGCCACCATGTTCATATGAATTAGTTTTTTGGTTTAGTTTATTGTCCCACACTAAAAGCTTGTGTGAGTGGCTTTTTTGTACACATTAGTTGTGAAAAGGGTAATGGGGTGGCTCTAACATTTTGTAATAGGAGTATAGGGCCCTTCTTCTTACAAGTTTGGTAATACCAAAGTTTTAATGGAGGCCCTCATGAGTAGTGCTCGTATAGATTGGGCATACTTGGCCAAACTCTGTTTTCTTGTTGGGTTTATTTGTAAAGTAATTGTACATTTAGTGTTGATGTATTCTAGTATTTGGTTGTACTGTGCTATTTGGAATTGGAAGATAGAGTAAAAAATGTTTGGACTCGTGAGGTCAG